TGAAAACTTGTGAAATTTTGGATTTTTCCCAAAAACAACCTTTTTCTTCCAAAAAATTGAGAAGTAACGCTTCTTCTACAGGAACAATTCCCGGGAACATTTCTTTCGATTGAATCTTTCATCTCAGATATGATTGGGTAGTTTTAAAGAAAAATGAATAAGTTTCTAAAAAACGTTCAAGTTTCAACAAATTGACTTTCTTAAACCCGTAACTGATTCTTGCTAAAAACAGCAAGTAGAGAAGATTCCGAAAATCTGGTTTGACGATTGAGAACTTAACTTGTGACTTTGCACCGTAATTTTTGAGCAGAGTAAAAAAAAACTTCCAAAACAGTCAAAGTTTCAAGACTTTCACCTGTTTGAAGACCACAAAATTTTCTATGTGTCATTGTGTGTAGCAATTTAGAAAGGCAAGCTTCGAACAATCGTTTTTTTAGTTAAACCAATGATATCAGATTTGGCAGGGTAGTTATTGCGAAAAGTCCAAAACAGGGTAAAAAAATCAGAAAAATGACATTTCATAGCTTTTTGTTTTTAAAAAAATAAGAGGCCGCTTATACCGGATAGATTCACCCAACCTGTATTTTCTATTGAACCCAAAAACGCAGGATTGGCAGGGTAGTTCTCGAGAAAAATCAAGAGGTTTCAAAAAACTGAAAAAGTCAAATTTGTAAAGTCAGCTGAACCTGAAACCCAACTTTGGCAAGAAAGTTCTCATAAAAAAGTTTGGAAAAACGGCCAATAAATAAAAATTTTGACATTTCCGAGAACCATAATTTTTTATGTAGAAAAAAATTGTGGGCGTAGTCAAGCATTCAAGGGAGCTTCTTGCCACCCATTCTTCCGACTGGCATAAAATCTCAGATTTGAGAAGGAATTTTCTGGTAAAATTGACAAAAGTCGGGAAAAATCTGAGAACAATAGATTTTGTATTAAAAAAATTGCTAGTGGCCGCTTGTGCAGAAAAGATTCGTCAAACCTGTAATTTCGATTACCAAAAATTCCAGATTTGGCAGTGGTGGCCACTCAATTTATATTGTGAAAGACTACTTCTGTAGGAAAAATTCTTCCTACCGGTTCTTTCCATTCGGCAACACAGTTAATAGAATTCAAATTGATAAGTTCTTGGGTTTCAGACTCATTGTCCTTGGGCACACAAAACATGAAACTTTTCGGTTTGAAACTTTAATGGATCTGATAATGATTCGACCTTTTGGTTCAAAGGGTGGTACCAAGATGCAATATTTGTTCCATGTGGTCATTTAGTTATCAATTTAACACCGATAAAACAGATGTTTTGATTCATTGAATTTTTTAAAGGCAACTACTGATTTCTGAAACAATTAATCATAGCCATCTATAAAGGAAAGCTTTCAACAAACTGTTCTTTCAAGTCATTTTTCATATCAGATTTGTCAGGATGGTTATCGAGCAAACAATAGAGATCCAAAAACGCTCAAAAAATCATAAACTTGAAAGTTTCCAAGAATCATTGCATTTTGTGAAAAACATTTGGGTAAAGTGTAAAAACATTTAAGTAAAGATGCTTTTACAGAAGAGATTTGCACAGCCTGTAAATTCGATTAAACGCAAAAACGCAGATTTGTGACTACACAGAAGCGAAGCGGAGCTTCTCACCACTTGTGATCCAACACAATCACTAAGAAAGCACGAGTCGAAAAACATTGAAATTTGTTGAAAAAAAAATAGATTAACAACAATTTTTATATGTGTCGATAAAGGAAACTAAGGCCCAGCTAAAGCTCGAGGTACGTGTTGATTGTTTTTGAGTTTGTTATACTGATGCGGGACAAAATGCCTAATTTAAAAACTTGGACTTTGCTCAAAACCCTAATTGTTTCTTTAATAAAATTAGTGAAAAGAGTGAAAACTTGTGAAATTTTGGATTTTTCCCAAAAACAACCTTTTTCTTCCAAAAAATTAGGAAATAACGGTTTCTTCTACAGGAAAAATTCCCGGAACTATTTCATTCGATTGAATCTTTCATCTCAGATATGATTGGGTAGTTTTTAAGAAAATGAATAAGTTTCTAAAAAACGTTCGAAGTTCAACATTTTGACTTTCCTAAACCTGTAACTGATTTTAGCTAAAGGCAAATCATTTGGCACGGTAATTTTCGAACTTCCAAAACGGTCAAACTTTCAAAACTTTACCTTTTTTGAATGCCATGACTCTTTTCTGAACGTTATTGTGCGTAGCAATTTATATAGGTAAGCTTCTAACAGCCTGTTCTGTCGTTTAAACCAATGATAACAGACTTTGCAGTGTAATTATCGCAAAAAGTCCAAAAAATGGTCAACAAATTAGAAAATTGACATAGCTTGTTTAAAAAAAAAGGAGTGTAGCCGCTATGCGGGACAGATTCACCCAACTTGCATTTTCGATTAAACTCAAAATCCAGGATTGGCCAGGTAGGTCTCGAGAAAAGTATAGAAGTTTCAAAGAAACCGTCATAAAATCAAAATTTTGACATTTCCGAGTGCCAAAACTTTTGGTGTCAGAAAAGTTTGGGAATAGTCGCATAAGAAAAGGAACTTCCCACAAAGCTTTTTTTTTCACTTAAACTTGAAATCTCAGATAGAGCATTGTAGTTTTCGAGAAGATTTGATAGGGTAGTTTTTAAGACAATTCAAAAAGTTTCTTTCCTAAAACTTAACATTCTGAAAACAGTAGTTTTTTTCTGCGAAAAGCAAACCGTGGCACGTAAAGTAGAGAAAATTCCCATAATCGAGGTCCTCCTCGATTGAACACTTAACCTGAGAATTGGCAGGATAATAATCGAGTAAAGTCACAAAACTTCCATAAAACGGTCAAAGTTCAAAACTTCCACTTATTTGACGGCAATAACTTTTTTCAAAACCAACTGGGCGTATCAAATTACAAAGGTAATCTTCCAACAACCTGTTGTGTCGATCAAACCTATGATATCAGATTTGGCAGGATAGTAATCAAGAAAATTCCAGAAAGGTCAACAAATCAGATTGTTGACAATTCCAAGAATCACTGCTTTTTGTTTTAAAAGATTTGCTCGTTGCCACTTATGCAGAAGAGATTCAGCCAACCTGTTATTTCAACTGAACCCAAAAGCCCAGGTTTGGCAGAGTAGTTCTCTCGAAAAGTCCAAAAATTACATATAACTGTCAAAAAATCAAACATTTGACTCATCGCTATTACAGAGCAGCTACTCACTACCAGTTATCTCTATTGAACCCACAATTTCGGATATGAGAGGCTAGTTTTCGAGAAAAATCGATATGATTCACAAAACGGTCAAAAATCAAAAATTTGACTTATCCAAGGGCCATAATTTTTTTGCACTTCAAAAGTGTGAGCTCAGCCGCTTATACAGGGAATTTTTCATGTATGAGCGGCTCATTGAAAGCAAAACTTCAGGTTTGAGATGGCAGTTTTCGAGAAAACGAAAAAAAATATGGGTCAAATATTACCCCACAGACTGTTTCGAAGGCTATAGACAGAGTGGTCAATAGAAAAAGACTATGGGAATATACAGCCACACAGTCGAGTAAGCAGTCTTTCAATTCATACCCTATTTTTGAAAATCGGTAGGATTTTTGAGAAAAAACTTAAAATACAAAGTGAAAAAAATTTTCCAAAGCATCTCAAAAAATAAAACAAAAAAACCAATCCCGTACGCGTTCATAAAAATTCTTTTTATCAAACAGGACTTCCGAAAGCATGCCAAGCAAGATATTTGAAATTCAAATAAACAACTGAAAAGCCTACGAAGCGGAAACAAGGCCGACAATTTTTGAACAGCCACCAGTTGAGCCAAAAAAAACAGATTTTGTAAAAAAAAAAAACTTTATAAGTTTAAAGTCCCCCTGAAACTAACTTGTAGTAACTAGTACCCACCCAATTGCTGAACTTTAACTTTCATGAAATTGATCATGTCATGCAGCTGGCATGCTCAATTTCTTGAAAATTCAAATTTGATTCAACTCATTTTGTTTAACTAGTTAAACCCATAAAAATTTTCCATTCCGATTTGATAACGCTTGATAATCGCAAGCGTAATAAACTGCTTAGAAATATTTGACCGCTTCATTTTTGTCTTATATCAAACAAATGTAAGAAAAATGCGGTTAAAATTTCTAATTTTGATCGATGTCTGGATAATTTGAATCAGCACTGTATCATGTCACGCTGCATTTCAGTCAAGAATCAGTCTGCATTAAAAAAAACTTATTTACTTATTTTAACATTTTTGAGTATCTTATGCATCGCAGTATTTTGCATAAAATCACATTATTTTTGGCATGAAGTGATTTTTTTCTTTGTTAAGCTATTGTTACCTGGTCCTAGAAGCTTCCTATTCGTGCTGCTGCATTTACACCTCCGACTATTGCACGGTGAACTCTGAGATTGAAAAAAGCAGCAATCTGATGTCTGCTGAGAAAAAAATCGATTCTGATTTATATTACTACAATCTACAAATAAATAAATTTCATTCAAAACAAAATAACTAATTTGGCATATGGCACTAATGACATGCTACTACAAAACTTCACTTGTAAAACCATTTCAATGGAAACTGAAGCATAAAAACAAAAAAATCAATATAGTTTTTATTTTGTATTTACATTCGAGTCTTGGCCATTCTGGTAGTATTGCATGACCTGGTCGTCGAGTGCCATTTGTTGCTGTTCTTGTACAGCTTTCTGTTGTAACTCGGCCATTATTTCATTCTGCTCCGAAACATACTTTAATCTTTCCTCCAAAACTGCCTTCCTTTTCATCTCAGTATCTTATGCATCGCAGTATTTTGCATAAAATCACATTATTTTTGGCATGAAGTGATTTTTTTCTTTGTTAAGCTATTGTTACCTGGTCCTAGAAGCTTCCTATTCGTGCTGCTCCCTTTACACCTCCGACTATTGCACGGTGAACTCTGAGATTCAAAAAAGCAGCAATCTGATGTCTGCTGAGAAAAAAATCGATTCTGATTTATATTACTACAATCTACAAATAAATAAATTTCATTCAAAACAAAATAACTAATTTGGCTTATGGCACTTATGACATGCTATTACAAAACTTCACTTGTAAAACCATTTCAATGGAAATTGAAGCATAAAAACAAAAAAAATCAATATAGTTTTTATTTTATGTATTTACATTCGAGTCTTGGCCATTCTGGTAGTATTGCATGACCTGGTCGTCCAGTGCCATTTGTTGCTGTTCTTGTACAGCTTTCTGTTGTAACTCGGCCATTATTTCATTCTGCTCCGAAACATACTTTAATCTTTCCTCCGAAACTGCCTTCCTTTTCATCTCATACTCTGACCTTTCCTTCTCCAAAATGGCCTCCAATTCTTCAAAATGTTTCATTTTTAACTCCAACTTCTTTACTTGCGTCTCAACTAAAGAAACAACAGCAACACGTATTCGTCTCTCAACTAAAGATCGAAGCTGATTTGCTTTTTGTGCCGACGTTTTTAGCGCAGCTTCAGTAGCTAAAAGTGACATCTGTCTATCAATGGGCTGATTATGAATGGCTTCCATCAGTTCGAAGCTCATCATTTCTGAAGCATTAGCGCCTTGACTTCCGTCTTCAGTTGTTTCATTATTGACTTCATCGTTATTTATGACCAATCTTTCATATTCGTCAATAGCATCTCGCAAACTTTGCATAGTTGGCGCAAAGTTGGTCATTGCTGCATGTTCCTCGCAATTCAGATTGTACTCTTCGTTTGACACAACATGTTCACTGTCATTTAAAACTGATGTTTGGCTCACTTCGGGGGGAGCGCCTTCGACTGATGAAATTTCACCGTTATTCAAAGTAGATGCAGTTATGTCAATATTTTCCTTGTTGCAACTGACATCATCGCTAAAATCTTGACCGGAAACTGCCGAACTGGAGATTGCGTCATCGTTTTCCGAGTAGACGCTCGATGACTGCGCTCCACTGTGCGATGGAGTAACAACCGTAGCTACTTCTTCATTGTGTAGCTCTGATTCTTCATTGCGTAACGCAGATTCAATTGCCTTCTTCGTGGCCAATCGACTTAGCTTATCTAGAGCTCCTTTTGCAGCTTCCGCTGCTAATCTTGGATCTACTTCGCGCGCCAGAAACGCTATTGTTGTCATTACTGGATTCGGATTACTTGCAAACGGTACCTGGTCAAACTTCGACAAGTATTCGCTAGTTTTGGACCCTGTTATGAAAGAATCTTCAATCGGTAATTTTAGAAACTGAGTTATACATTGTTCTGAAGTCTTTGTTCCAACATGCTCCGAAATTTTCTCCCAATCTTCCTCGTAAATCTGAATTCCCTCCAGAAGCAGGAAAACCTCTGTTTGCGTCCAATCGCTTCCAGGAACTGCATTACTGCTCGACGCAGCAGCTCCACTTTTCATATTTTGACTCTTCTTTTTAGACGAATGCAAGTCAGCATGTAGTCCAAAGTTGTGAAGGGTTTTGGCTTCTTCTGAAGTTTCTTCCGATTTTGCGGTTCCAAAACCATCAAATTTAGCTATTCTCTCAGTTGCATTGAGACTGCGTACAATTTGAATTGGTTTTATATTCGCTTTGACCTCCGGTACTGTTGAAGGAGAGCTTTGCTCATTTCCAGCTTCGTCTACTTGTTGTTTTATATTTCCAAATACATGATAGGTCGCCGGATTAGCCAATCGCCGTGCATTATCTTGTGATAATTTAGGTTCCAAATCACATTGGTAGTTGATCAGACCCCATTGCTGCAAAAAAGCGTGAACGCGAAACACTGTACAAACATCACCTGTCAGATTCCGTCTAACCGATGTCAGAGTTAAGTATACAAAAGGGTTTATCCTATAGCTATCTATCATAAAATTTCGCATGTACAAATATTTCTCTGGGGACTTAACTTCACTTTCTTCATCGATGAAAAATTCCGGTATTGCTCTTTTTTCGATTTCATGAATCGACTTATAATCAAACCATGCACTGTAAGACGGTATAATAATGTGAAAAGTCTGGTCGGCTATTTTAGACGTCGGCTCAGTTGTGCTTAGACATAATTTAACACGTTTCGGATCTGTAGGACCCGAATCCATGTCAATCAATTCTACATTAGCTTGGACCATGGGCTGCATTGCACTAGGACTGGTGACTATCTGAACATTATTTGACGGTTCTGGAATTTCAACTACAATTTCTCTTTCTGAATTATCTTTTCTCTCAATTTCACCAGTTGGTTGAGAATTGCTTTCAGAAGGTTCAACATCTGCTGTCACAGGTGATCTGGTTGTTTCTCTTGTTAAATCAAACACTTTGGATGAAAAATCAATATACTCTTTCGTATTATCTTCCTTCGTAATATAATCGAACTCTGAAACCCACTCATTGCTATAGTCTGAACTTATTAACCAATTATAATCAACATGGTATTTGGCAACACAATTGATAGAATTCAAATTGATATTTTCTTGGGTTTCAGACTTATTGTCGTTGGGCACCCAAAACATGTAACTTTCCGGTTTGAAAACTTGATGAATTAAATTAACTTCTTTGGAGCTGAAAATGATGCGACCTTTAGCTTCCAAAATTTCTTTTGATTCATGAATAAGTGCTTTCTGCTCATGTACAATATGCGAGGCTAGAGCTTCGCTTTCTACAATGACACCGTTATGCTCTTTCACACTTTTTAATAATCGCTCTTTTAGTGCATGCGTAACATCAGGTGCGAAAAATACTCTAGGAATTATGAACAAACTCTGATCAATCAAACACTTCTCGATTCTGGTTAGTAATAACAATGTGTCCGGTCTCTTCGAAACAGCACCCAAGTCAAATATTGTCCATCCCTTTTCGAACTTGAAGGCAAACATTTCTGCCAAGATGTAACACAAAGCACCGTCTGGCTTGAAATCGATAAAAAGCCTAAACGGGAACCCAGTACGAGTTGACTTTGATTCTTCGTTTTCATTCTGCTCGGATTTCACGAATTCCACAAGAAGGTATATTGCGCGACAGAGTATTCGATTAACTTCCATTGGTTTCTGATTTGCGAATTCATCTGTGTTGAAATACTTTGCATATTCTTCGTGGTTTATCAGCCATTCGCGGACTGGGTCGAAGTGTATTAATGTGGAGTCTAACTCCAGAAAAGCTTGAAAAGATGAGCCAAATGACAGACTGTTTACGTCAGGGAGAGATAATGAATGCACATTAGCCATATTGTTGTTCTGAAATGGATTTTGAGGTAGACTACTTAGTACAAAGAAGTTTCACCAAACTTGCAATACAAAGAAAGAATAACTATCAATAAAAGCAAGTATTGCCGACTGCTGCGCATTGCATTTCAAGTAGTTATAGGCGACCGCAGCCATTCAAATAAAAAAAAATTCAAAAAAAGGGAAAACATTAAGGTAAAACTCTACGCAAATTGTTCTTTCTTTCAGAATAGGCGATTTTAGTAAGGGGCGATTGATTGAAAGCTTAAACTATCAACGTGTCACTCACAACTGTTTTGCTATTCAGTCTGAAAAAGGAATTTTTTCACAACTTTTTCCAAATCCGAATTACGGCTGAAATGGTTTTAATATGATACCACACTTCAACCTGTCGTTGAGGTTGTCAGGTGAAGCGGTCGGAACAAAAACACCTTCTAAATTCCTTTGATTTTTAAAATTAACAACTGCAATCAAAATTTACTCAAAGGGAAATAAGCTCTGTCACAATATACAAAGAAACCATTTCAAAAATCATCTCCACTGATCAGTTACTATTTTCAGAACAAATCCCGTTTTTTTTCTGGAAAAGCACGGATGTAATTAAAAAGCTCGTACCAAATGAATAAACAAATAATTAACTGGAAAAAAAAACTTCAGCGAAGAGCAAGGACCATCTTTCACAGAGGCGAAGCGGAGCCTTGTAACCTTTGCGATACATCACACATAGAATTTGAAGCAAGCAGATACAAAAACATTAAGCCCAGCGCTAAATTAGCTTTGAGACAAAACTTACTCAGCGGTAACTAGGCAGACTTCTGTTGAGCCGAAAGTTACCACTAAAGATTTGTGCTTGAAAACAAACCCAACTGGTGATATTCCCCGCAGCACAAACATGCATAAACACAACAATTTTACCAGACTATTGTAGGAAAACTAGGGGCAACAAGTTTCACAGAAAAAAGCCGAAGCCAGACTAAAATCTTAGATCTCAAACCGGAAACAAGTTGATTAAAACTTTATGAACATTTAATTCGAAAAAAAACATACATCACGTTGTAGCTTTTTGAAGAACACTGTTTCTGATTGTCACTATATTCCTAAAGTTATCCCATTTCGAGAAAACTATCAAAAGGGTTTTTTATTCCGCTGAAAATTCAGAAAGCTACGAGTCCCTTTCAAACTAGAAATTATTCACATCTTCGTGACTTTCTAACTTTTGCTAATCGAGTGGAGTTGCTTTCATTCAACAAAGAGAATGAAAAGAAATGGAAAAAGAAATCAAAAATCAAACCGCAAAAAATCAGATATGAGCGTGAATAAAATTTAAAGAGATTTTCCTGAAAAAAAACCAAACAAAAAAACCAATAAGTGGTAATCAGCTCTTTAACTTTTAAACAGCTAATACGATATGATTAAAAAACACACCATTTACCAGCTACAAAATAGTGAATGAAAAAGACTCAAAAAAATTCCGAATTATGTTGGAAAAAAATTACTTAAAAAAATAACTTGACAAAAGTTGCTAAACTACAGCTACAAAAACTTCATATTTCAATTTTATGAAGTTCATAAACAGCCCTTTAAAATGGAATTCATTTACCGAGCAGCAACAAAGGCGACAAACTTTGGGTCGAAACCCGTTGAGCCGAAAACAAATGTTGTCATAAAAATTTCATAAAACTCAAAAGTTTTGACGACCCATCCAAACTGAAACACAATTAACCAAAGAATTGCGTTTTTTCAGCGCGCTTCTCAAATTTAGTTTAAAAAATGCATGCGCCGAAGGCGCCTTTAGAAAAAATTTAGGATCCGTCAACCAAAAATGGAGATCTTAAAATAGTTTAAAGGGGGACCGTTTGGTTCGGCAGGGGGTCGAATCCCCTGAATCCACTGGAACACAATTAAAAAATAAAAGATTTGCAATCCTTGAGAGTACTCTGACAGGACCTAACTACAGGGTTGGGAATTTCATATTTTTAAAGAAAAAAAATAATTCAAGTTTTCTGAAAAATTTTGAAAATATCGCAAAAAACGTCATATCTCGAAAACTACAAAGAATTGAGCAGTCATACTTGGAGGCAAGATTCGCAATGTTTGAGAGTACTCCGACAGGACCTAACTACAGGGTTGGGAATTTCAGATTTTTAAAAACTAACAAAAATTTAAGTTTTCAGAATAATTTTTGAAAAAATCACAAAAAACGTCATATCTCGAAAACTACAAAGAATTGAGCAATCCTATTTGGAGGCAAGATTCGCAATCTTTGAGATTACTCTGACAGGACCCAACTACAGGGTTGGGAATTTCAGATTTTGCGAAAAAAAAAATTAATATAAGTTTTCGGAAAATTTTTTGAAAAAATCACAAAAAACGTCATATCTCGAAAACTACAAGGATTTGAACAATCATATTTGGAGGCAAGATTTTTAACTCCTTAGAGTACTCCAACAGCTCCCAACTAAAGGGTTGGGAACTTCAAGTTTTGTAAATTATTTTGTTATTTGAAATTTCTGAAAATTTTTGAAACAATCTCAAAAATCGTCTTATCTCGTTAACTAAAATGATTCGGGCATTCAAAATTGGAGGCCAAATTCGCAACTCCTAATTCGATATTGGGCTGCCTAACTTAAACTCGGTAAAATAACCACTAAAATCAAATTGGAAAATCGAAAAAAAATGCTTAACCATTGCATTATACGATATAGCTTAAAAATGCAAACATAATACGTTGAAAAAGCTTAAACATGGCGAGATAGTGAAGCCCGCATTTAAATATATAATAGATATAACATGATTAAAAAAACATAGAAGCTGCTATTCAATTTTTTAGCATAATCTGCTATTAATTTTTTTAAACATTATCTGAGATTCGAAATCATGAGCGTCGCAAAGTTATTCACTCGGACCACTTGCGATACATTAGAAACATAGCATTGTATATAAATAAGTTCCTTAAAAACTATCATATCGCATTACACCACTCTGTCACAATTTTTGTATCAGAGATGTTTATCTCGCAATTTTCTCTAAAACTCTCAATTCTGACTCAAGGATCAATTAATCGGTAATACAAATTTGGTAATTCAAGATTAGCTATTAGAAAAAAAAAACATGTCATTTATTCCAATTCAATCTTATTAAAAAATAATTGACTAAGTAAATCACTTTAAACTGTCATGATGTGAGAAATTTTATCAGCCGCTTTCAGCACTTGGTCGGATGACACTTGATGATGAAAGACAGCTCTGATGACTGAGGGACCGACTGCAAAAACTCCCACGTTGACCGAGCTGCCATCTCCTAGCTTCCTATTGGCTAATTGATCCACCAGCCCCTGGGCAGTGATTGTGTCCGACTTCACCGTGAAGTATACCATGTTTGTCTGCACAGAAGACAGATCAAGCTCAATTCCTGTAATGCAAATCGTTCTCTCAAATTTTACTTAACTCATTTGTTGCCAAAAATTTGCGAATAGCATTTGATAATGATATTTTTCAAAAACCAACACAGGAGTAGCTTTTTTTTATATAACAGGCAGATTTTACAAAAAGAAGTCTGCTGTCGACAGCAAAGCTAGTTTTAATAGCATTCTTTCTTCTGCAAACTGTACTGCATTAAGCTTTGATTATCTTAAATTAGATTTACTTAACCAGGCACGCTCTTGATCTTAGATGCAAACAGCAGCGCATTTTCATGATCCGCGCCCAGTTTCTGTTCAAATCCATCAAGAGCGACCAACCCACATGATGCCAGAACCCCCGCTTGTCTCCATCCTCCTCCAACCATCTTTCTGAGCCGTCTAGCCCGATCTATGAATTGTTGTGAGCCACAGATGACAGAACCCACAGGAGCTCCTAGACCTTTCGAGAGACATAGATTGACCGAATCGAATGGTTCAGTCAGTTCTTTGGGATCCACGCTCAAAGATACTGCTGCGTTTAGAAGTCGTGCGCCGTCCAAATGAAGAGCAATATCTGCAACAAAACTAAGATAGTTCAGGTCCACGCTAAAAAGCAGTTCAATAGTAGCGTCAGTCCGTAAAATCAATTTAGAACGTTTTGTCATGCTGAGAACATACAAGCTAATTCAGTTAAGAGAAATTCATTTGAAATGAAATCGGTCGAAAATGAAAAATGATTTATTAAAACCCGGATATTTGATGACAAAAAAATAAAAACTGTGTACCTTCTCCGTGGCTTTTCATAATTTTATGCACCTTCCAGCAGTACTCTGGACTCAGTACAACACCACCACACATATTGTGCGTATTCTCCAGACATACCATCTTCGTCTTGGTCTTATGTGGATCAATGCCTGGATTTATCGTCAGATCCAGTTCGTCCAGACTAATAGTACCATCTGGTGCATTATGGATAGTTCTGATCACCACTCCTGCTATGCAACTGGCTCCTCCCTGTTCGTACTTGATGATGTGTGACTTGTCACCCACTATTATGTCATAGCCCCTCCCCCAGCAATGGGCCATGATCGATAGAAGATTGCCCATAGTTCCACTAAACACATTAGCATTAGATAGAGATAATTAGAACTAACATCGAATTCTTGAATAGCCTTAATCAAAGCCTTTAGTGAATTAGGGAAACTATAATCAGTGATATGTAACAATAGGTGGTAATTTTGAGAACTATTTGAGTAGTGCAAGTATTAATTTGAGAACTCTTATCCATAACATAGTTGTTTCATTTTCAATCAATTGTACATGCTGCTAATATAGTTTTTATAAATACATTACTTTACCAGATAACTACAAACTTTACACTACAATTTTGTCAAAAATTTGGCTTTGAAACAAATTATAAAACAAGAGTAATGAACGCAAGAAAACGGACTTATTTTTTTCTAAGAACCTTCAACTTTTGAATTTCGAAGAAAACCAGAGATGGCCCTAAAGCTCTTTGAATTTGTAGAACAATTTGTGATGGACACTTTTTTCTTAAAATTAACAAAAATTGAGAAGACTGGATTAATAGGCAAAACTTTTATTTCGCTGGGAAATATGATAATTAGTTTCCATTTTCGAAACTAGAAGTCGAGCAAGTTTTTCGTGACCTTAACAATTTTGTTCTTCGAGAACTTGAGCTTCTTTCAACCAATTTGGAACGATTTCAAAGAGGGATTAACTCTCCGCTTACGCGTTAATAGCGCGAAATATATCGCGCGTTAATTGTCCCAAATTGGCCAAAATGGCAATCTTTAAACCCCCGTAACTTTACGAAAAATGTCACAGGTAAAATATCTTCTCAAATTTGAGCTCAGGACAACAATACCTTTCGAATGATATAAAAAATTTCCGTCAAAAATGGCTACTTAAAAAGTCGAAATTTGTCTGAAGAAAAAAAACCCACCCCGAGCACAAATATTCCGTTACTTTCGTATCGAAATTCGGAACAATAAGAAGTCAACTGCTAAAATGTTAAGACTTTTCCTGAAAAAATAAACAAAAAAACATCGCGACCTATAAAATAGTACGTTCACTACTCTTAATACTGTTCGAAGTATAACAAAGAGCGATCCATCTATTTAACTTGAATCTGCTACCTATTGTAATATACCAATAGTACAGTCCGTACAGTCCTGGGAATGCAAAGATTTCCCAAGCTCCAGAAATCATCTTACAATAGGCAATCCCTAACAATCTCACTGCCTCTGAAAGTGAGCTCAAATAATGAACAAAATCCTTATATTTTAAAAAAATACGGTTTGATGCAGCAAGTTTTGTAATATTTGAAAAAAATATATAATTTAATTCAATTTAATTAAAAGGAATCTCTTCCATAAACTGCGCGGCTTAATATCAAGGACTAGCATAGCTTTTTAAAAATACCAACTTAAAAGTCATTTTATACATCTCTAAACAGAGTAAAACACGACTGCCCGTATCAGGGCAAAGCCCTTAATTTTCCGACTGCCCTTTGGTCTCGAATAGTTTTTTTGGTTAAAAAATATTGGCAAAACTATGAAGAAAAGGCTGACATCAAATTTTAAGTGTTAAAATTTGAGTCGTGTATGGAATTAATAAGCCCAAATTAGCTGCCTCAATTCAATTTGGAACGATTTTGCAATGCGGGATAATTCGCCACTTGTCACTATAATCGAGCAGTTTGTTCAGGCTTGTGACAGGTTACTGTGTGTCTGCACACCAAGCTGGCCATTCAAATCAAGGAATCGATCTCTAGTGGGAGCAAATAGTTTTAAAATGGTCTGATTTTAAAAAATTTAAAAACCACCTCTAGCATATATATTCTTCAGTTCTGAACAACCAGTACCACTCATTGACTAACGTAATAAGCCCGAGATATTTTTCAGTGACAAATTATCAAACTCATTACTTAGATGTGAATTTGGGGCTTTGATTTACTATTCTAGATAAAATATGGGCTCTTTTTCCTTTCCCCCCCCACCTGCAAACTTTTACATGCAAATTTGTTGATCACATTGTCCGATTGTTATGAAAATTTACATACAGACTAATAAGGCCACGACAAACATATTAGGTCTTCATACTCAACCTCGTAAAAGCACTCGTTACACTAATATATTGAAGTTGAGGTTGGGGGGGGGGGAAAGGAAAAAGAGCCAAAATATGTATGATGTTCATTGTATTATCCACATCTAATCGTTTGCATCAAAATATGATGATCAGAAACAAGAACAATACCTAATCGTCTATTTAGCGTCACCCCTGACTTGAGGATACTTTTATTATGGATAAACTTCAGCGGAGACAGTTGGAGAGTATAAAGCGCATTAAGTTAGTCGAAAGAAAATGAGAGATGCTCTTCAACCAAAAAAAGGAAATTAATCTTTTTTTTAATTCGAAGGAAAATATTTTGATGAGAACACAATAAGAAAGACACATATGAAGCGGATACAACACAATCATAAAAACATCAAGTCGAAAAAAAATGAAAATGTTGAGAAAAACTAATTGGACCAAAATTTTCATATAACTCGAGGAAGAACACCTAGGGCCCAGTTATTTTACTAATGCGAGACGAAATGCGTATCTTCAAAAATTGGAGTTTGCACAAAACCTTCGTTGTTTCTCTACTAAAATTGGTTAGAAGAGTGAAAATGTTTAAGATTTTGGAACATCTACCAAATCATTACATTTTTCTTTAAAAAAACAAAAAAGTAGCCGCTTCTGCAGGAAAAAGTCGCACAACCTCTTATTTCGATTTAACTTTTAATCTCAGATTTGATAGGGTAGTTTTCAAGAATTTCTAAAAAAGAGTCAAAGTTCAAAAACTTAACTATCCTAAAAAGTAATATTTTCGGCGAAAAGCAGGTCATGGCCTGTAAAGTGGAGAAGATTCCCAAAATCGAGTTCCTCGATTGAACACTTAACCAGAGAATTGGCAGGGTAATGTTCGAGAAAAGTCACAAAACTTCCAAAAGACGATCAAAGTTTCAAAACTTTCACTTGTTTAACGACTGTAACTTTTTTCAAAACCAACTGGGCGTAGGAAATTACAAAAGAAAGCTTCCAACAACCTATTGTGCAGATTAAACTTATAATATCAGATTTGGCAGGATAGTTATCGAGAAAAGTCCAGAAACAAATCAGATAGTTGACAATTCCGAGAATCGTAGCTTTTTGTTTTTAAAGATTTGCGCGTAACCGCTTATGCAGAAGAGATTCACCCAACCTGTTATTTCGATTGAACCCGAAAAACCAGGTTTGGCAGGGTAATTTATTCGAAAAGTCTAAAAATTTTAAAACTCGGTCAAAAAAATCAAAAATTTTTCTATTCCGAGGGCCATATTTTTGTTTTAAAAAGTTTGGGCGCAATCGTTTGTGGAGGGGAGGTTTCAAAATCCGCTCTATTAATAGAAACAAAAAAAATCTCAGATTAGGTAGATTAGTTTATGAGAAAAAGAAAAACTATATTTAAAAAAATCGGTCAAATATTTCCCCTGCAGACTTCTATGAAGACTTAGACAAAATGTAAAGCAAAAAGAGACCACAGGAGTATGCAGGCACACAAACGTGTAGGCGGTCTTTCTTTGAATACCCCTATTTTAAAATTCGGTAGAAGAGTTTTTGAGAAAAAAAAAACTAATTTTTTTTTGCAAAAAGTGATAGAATTTTGCAAAGCGTAAAAAAACATACCGTACATTTCCATAAAAGCTGTTTTATTTTCCAACTGGAATTCTAGGCAAACATGCCAAGCAATGCTTTTGAAATTTAAATTAGCAGCTGAACAAACATACAAAGTGTAAACAAGGCCGACAATCTTTGAGCAGACACCAGTTAAGCCGAAAAAAATCTGATTTTAAAAAACGTAAAATTTTACAAAAACGTAATACTCTACATTCCGATTTGATAACGCTTGCTAATTGCAATAGTAAAAAGCAATTTTAAACGTTAATTTATATGGGCAACAAAAATTGCAAATTGATAATTTTCAAGCCGACATATTAGTGTGACGCCCATTAAGCCCACAAAAAAAAAACGACAGCCCAGGCCTACAAAGATTCTGAGCGAAAAAAAACTTTAAAAGTAATTGCACCTTTTACCACAAAAGCAAAGCGAAAAAGAGCAAAATGCCCATGTTCAGGCATTAAAAAATAAACATAGCCAACAGAAAGTTGAAAAAGAAACAAGGAACGCAAGTAAGCAAAAAAAAAAACAAATTATTTTTCGAAAAATATCAACTTTTGAATTTTTAAGGAAAAAAGATGCCTCAAAGCTCTTTGAGTTTCTAGATCAATCTAAGTAAACTGGATCATTAGGTAATTTTTTTATGCCGGTGGAAAATATGAAAATCAAATTCTACTTTCGAAACTATAAGTTGATCACGTTTTTTGTGAACTTTACACTTTTGCTTTAGATAGTGGAATTTGCCTTGCTCTTCACAAAAGAAACGAGCTGAACATTTAAAGAAAACGTAAGTCAAATGGCAAAACAAAATTTGACCCTGCACAAATTTTAAGACTTTTATTGAAAAAAATTCATCAGCACCTATTTAAGAATTTGAACTCATCGACTTTTAAAAATAAACTTTTTAAAAATTTTTTACATTATAGATTTCTTGAGTATTACCGATCCATTCTCCAGCGCATTATAATCAGAAAAGCCCATTCAACCAACTCAAACTAGGCAAAAAAATTACTTGTGAAAAAATGCTTAAATCAAAACTTTTTCAATCAGATGAAACAATTTTGGCCTTAATTATGAGATCAGGGTTAAATCCGTGCCTTTTTATGACTAAGATAAAAATGGAGAGACAAAACAAAAATTTTGGTCCGAAATCGAAACCGAAAAACAGCCGAATGTCAGGGATTAAAATGGATTCTGAAACAGAGGCGAAGCCTAGCCCCACGCCATTTGCGACCCAAAACAAACATAGCATGAAAAACTAGCAGTCAGAGAATTAGACGAAAGCTGTTAAGTAGAAAAAAACGATATCTACAAATGTTTTCAAACCTTTGTCTCGATTGTCATGAACAAAGAAATCTATGCCAAATTAACTAATTGAACGTTAAGTTA